TAATATTCTTAGTACTATTTTGGAATGCTATTTAAAATCTTTTTACTATTAAAAATAGGTGTGGCATATATGGCAAAAGATGACCATTTTTTTATTACATACATAAAAGTTCTTGCACCTATCAACAAGGGTTTGATTATATTGGACTTATAGATTTCTACTTGATTAGCAAGATCTTGGATTGAGTTACAAAAAAATATCAAGGTTATAATAAATTCAATTTAATTGAAAATTATATTTTTTTAGCTACAATAATCCTAAAATAATTGAGTTAAAAAGAGATTTAATTATATTAAATATTATTAAGCTATTTTAACTACTAATTGCTACATCTAAAGAAATTGTTTCATGGATAATGTCTCCAAAAGATAAAAAAATGACCATCTATGACTTCTATATGTACATATTTATTTTCCTTGATTAAATATATTTTTTATTTTTTAATAAAGGTATTATCTATAAAACAAGCTGAGGCACTAAAATCTAGCAAAATAAAGACTTTATGATTTTTTGGTACTAAAAAAATTTCTATTGTAAAATAAGGTGAATGATCAGAGGAGAAAATAGGACTTTTATTAGTTATTATGTAAAATTTCAATTGTACAGTTCCTATTATAGCTAGAAAAACTTGTTTTTTAATGCATTGTTCTCTTTGATAGGCATGTTATTTATTTTGTGGTTACATTGCTTCTTTAGACAATGTTGACCAATATGCTTAAATTATCTATAATTTAAGCGTAAACCTTCTTGACAGCATCAAGTTTTTTTTTTATCAATAAGAAGCTTGAAACGTACCATGTCAATTTGCATAAGTTTTAATTTTGATGAATAAACTTCTGTGAATTTAAAAGCTATTGCCATAGCTTGATTTTTACATCTTTAATTAAATCTTTATTCTTAGCATCTTTTAAAAAGTTGATTATTGCATGTAATGATTTAAATAATAAATTACTATAATGAACTTGCTTTTAGTATTTTTAATAATAAAACTTTGATATTATCTTTTAATATATATTAAAATTGATTGATTACAACTTTGTCATTCCAATCTACATTGTAATCAAGATTTTGAAATTTTGTAGCATATATAGTGGCTAAACCTGATCATTATTATAAAGATATAACTTTGATTTTTATTATATTTTTTGATTATTTTCTCTAAAAATAGCCATAAATACTTTTAAGAATAAATTATAATTATAAAAAAGACATAAATATTTTTTCATCAAAGGCATAAATCAAGAAAGAGCAATCTTAGAAAGAAGTGCACCTATGAATCAAACTTGAATAAATCTATCAAAATATTGAAAATGATGCAAGCTTAGATAGAATTTTACTTCTTGTAGAAATTCTCAAAATTTTGACCTTATTCTATTGAACTTCTTGGATATATTTATCCTTGCTTCTTTGATACTTGCAATAATAAGACTTCTTGAATTTAATTGTGAGCATGATCTACTTACTTTTCTTAATTGCATAACTTCTTGGCGTAGACTTTGAACTTCATTATTCATGTCTTTTATGGTCGTTGGAATACTACTTTCATGGTTGATATTAAAGATACATAAAATTTCCATCTTTAGAGTATTAACAAGCTTATGAAGATCTACAATAGTTAAATACTATTTTTAAAAGTATTTAAAAAATTTTCCTTCTATAGATAATTCAAACATGTGTTTAAAGGTGGATAGTTCACAACAATAGAAGTGAGATAATATATTCACTTTTAACACAAAATAAGGATAATAAGTCAATATTCTTATCAAATTATAAAGAACATCAATCTCAAAGAAAGAAAATCTCAATATATTCTTATGTCACTTGAAAAGACTAGAAAATTACTCAAAGATGATAATATATTGAATTAAACTAACTATTGCCAAAGACAAGATTAGAAAGTCTTAAAACTAGACTAAAGACTAAAAAGACATTGATAAGAATGAAAAAGACTTCACTCTTACTATCCAATTAAAAGCTATGTGACAATGTCCTACATGACCTCCCATACATGTCTAATTTGTAAGACATGTATCTTAACTTTTAAGCCAAGTTTCTTATATACACTCCATATCATTAGCTTATATCACTAGCTACCTACATGTACAACACATGGCTAATTTTTTGGCCAAGTTTTTAACCTATCAATCAACTATAAACATGTATAAAGTCAAATCCGTATCTATGAAGTTTCTAAGAAGCTTTGCCACAAGATAATATTAAATCTACCTACATTTATTTTCTAGCTAATACTTCTTATCTACATAAATATATGTCAATGACAAGTAGGATAGTAGCAACACTTGAATGTTGTGAAGATACTTTGTTGCATTGCATCCTTCTATGTAATAATATTTGTTGAATTTCATCTTATTGAAAAAAATTGCTTGGCTATAATAAATGCTAGCAAAATACTATTGTTTAGAATCAAACTTATACACTTCTTTGCATTTGGTCGAGAGCTCTAAATACAATTACTTCATCCAATCCTTACTTGAATATGTAATGTTAAAAGAATAGTAGTAAATGTTTATCTTTAGTATCACATGTATTAAGAATTAATATATTAAGTGTATATGAACACTCATAGAAATTACAAATATGACAACTAGATATTTTAAAATCTATATATCTAAACTTGTTTACAAAACCAAGGATCATGCCACAACTTTGATAAAAATAATAAATTAATCAATTAAAAAATTTGATGTCTTTAACATCAATGTAATCCATATAAAAAAAATGGAAGCATTAACACAATATAAATAAGAATACAAAGTGCATCACTAACATTAGCAAACAATACAGCAATAGAAAATATATTAGAGTATGGGATGGTCCAACAACCATGGAAGTTAGAAAAATTATTGACATTGATTATGACTAATGTAAAAAAATTATTTTAAAAGAAGTAGCAACTAAATTAAATCCTAAAATTATTAAGGACTATTATAGTCTATGCAAGGATAGGCTAAAGATTTGAAAAGTAGCTAATTTAGAAATATTCCAAAATTGAAAGATAGTATTTTCCACCAATTGAAATTGATAGCATAAAACAACATAAGTATGTTGTAGAATTTTAACAATTTCATTATCCTCCATATTTTAAAAGCATCCAACATGAAAAACAAAAGAAGGTGAGCAATATTTGGCAAGATTTGGAAAGAATGACTACAATGAAGTCATATTGTAATATGACTATATGATAAAAATATAATCAAAAATAAAATTTTAATCAATATCTAATCACCTTGATTCAATAATAATTCAAGAAATTTAAACACGGATTTTATAAAAGTCTCTTAGTTTATTTTTTTGTCTTAATAGCTAGTTGATTAAAGATTAGTTAATAATTTTACCTTTTAGATTGTAAAAACCCTTTTATTGCCTTAGAAAGGCCATAAATTGATAAAAATAAGATAGAAGAGGTAAATAATTAATAATATTAATACTATGATTAAGTTGAAGGTAGAATTAGGCTAAAAATTTCCCAGGATATGTTGGATTGATATCTGAAGATTGATTGTTTGTAGGACATGGTCAAAATCAGATTTCCAGCTACTTAAATAGCCACCTAGGACAAAATATAAGGCATTCAAATATTGACAACTAGGGTTGGAGAGCTAGCTTTTAAGTTCGTTTTAGAAGCATAAGGCTTGTTTTCGTAGGATTTGGATTGATTTTGCAATTATTATTCAAAATCAAGGTTTGTACTGGTAACTTTGGATTTATGCAATACAATTAGGACTAGCACCTCTGGCTAGCTCATGCAATTGATATCACATCTTTGGTTTAGTTCAAAATTTGACAATATTAGATTGATTAGGTGTGTTAAGTGTATGTAAAATTTTGTGTCAATCTAATGATGTAGTTGAGAGATATTTGATTTTTGATACAAACAAGTATCAAAATTTGGCAATTTGAAATTGGATAGTATTTCTATGATATGTGAGGATCTATTAATCTGAATAAGATAAAATTTGGCATGGTATTAAAAGACTTAAAGATCAAGCTACACACAAATTTTGAGTTGAAGTTAATAGTTGAAGAAGGAGAAATTACTACTTGAACATCTGCATCAGCTTTCAAGTTGGAAGCCAAGTGACATTAGTGCAATTTTTTGGACATTGCTTTACAATCAATAAGTTGAATTGGGGCTGAAATTTTTTAAGCATGTAGAAGACTTATAGTGTCATTTATATGTAAAATTTTGTACCACGTGGACAATCAAATTAAGAGTTACAACTTACTACAACTCACTAACTAGGATAAGGGCTTATAAAGAGAAATTGAAATTACCTAATTATGAATGTAATAAGGCAATTGGAATTTGTATATAGTTGAGGTTACTAAGATGAGTGCTTTTGAGCACTTTGTATTGGCTTTAAGCACTTTTGAATTAAAATTCAAATTGCATTCTTCTTATATGGATGAAACCTATTAGGATTTCTTAGATACTTAAACATTTTAATATGTGATGTGGATTCTCTAATAGATACATATTTTAAGTTTTTTTAATGTTTTAATTTTTTTTCAGTTCTAATTTTTTTAGAGTTATTTCTATCCACAAGTGTCACTTCTATATATAAATATTTTTAAGTTAATATTTTATTTTTGAAAAAAAAAATTAAGAAAATTATAATAAACATATTTTTAAATTATCAAGTCTTTAATGCATGTGTTTTAAAAGAATAATATATATATATATATATATATATATATATACATACCATTTCAAATACTAAATTATTTTATTGTTTTATTTGATTATAAGAAATTAAAAACATATTATTTAAATCTTACTATCTTAAATACCAGAAGAATTATTTACATATTTAAAACAGTATTTTAAAACTTTAGTTTTGAACTATGCTTTTTTTAGCAAGATTATTGATACATTTCAAAATACAAAGAGTAGTAATTTGGAAGAGTTCTAAAACCATCATCTTGATAATGGAGTCTTAAGGATTTTCCGGTTAAAGAAGTATGGTTCTAAAAACGGATACGTAAAAATAGCTTACATTTTATTAAATAAGTAGTGGATGCAAAATTTTACAAATAGAACAGGCTAGGGCCAGGCAGAAGTCTATTCACAATGCGCAATCCTGACTAATAGGCAACTATTTACCCAGGACTGAAATTCTAGCGAAACGTAGTCTTCGCAACTAAGACAGTTCCTCAGCAAACACAATGCTGAAGCAAGTCATATGAGTATATACAGCAATCACGAATGGGATCTAGTGCCACGCAGAAGAAACAATGAGTGGCCGATTCTTCCAGCCCAGGAAAAGGGCTCCACCCTCCTCTTTAAGCCTGTATTTATCACTGTACGACTCCAACAATGTCTTTATTGTGTTGTTCACTGTTTGGCTCAAAGGGTAGGGTCGAAACCCAGCCATGGTGAGGCGCGCCCGCCATTTGCCCATCATTTCATGCCTTTCCACTCTGTCGATGCCTTCACAAGCAATAATATTGACGATGTCACGGGCTAGGCATTGTTGCTCAACATTAACACGCTCCTTGCTCTCTCGAGCTAAGGTTATATCCAAGGACTCAAATATGGCAGAGTAATAACTCAGAGCTTCCAAAAAGCGTGGAAAGAAAGGGGCGGTGTTCGTATTGGACTCCTGCTCGACAAGAGTCATGACTTTGGGATTGAGGCCTTTTATCATATGCAGCATACGGTCCCGAGGATTGCTTGTGCAAACGCTCTCATCAGGCATGTGGTGGAGTTGTAGCGCAAAATTTACTGCTAGAGCTTCTCCTTGCTGCCGCTCCAGCATCCATGCTTCTATTTCTGTCCCTTTCTTCGCTACAGGATGGAAAACGAAGGGAACTCCGACAGCTTCTGCTAGATTAGCAAGTCGCTTACCAACCATCTCAACACCTACATTTGGAGTTGGCCCTGGCATGGGGTCATCGATACCTGTGATCCGCACGTGAGGTGGACCCCCTGGTCTAGCAGCCAAAGCTCGAATCAGGGTAGTCCATTGTGTACCTTGAGCTATTTGGAAATCGATGATGTGAACCCGAGATTCATTTTGAAATGCCTCAGCAATGGCTCCATTGGCTGCCATGTACCCAAATTTGAAATAAGGGCAGACTTCGTACAGAATCTGCATTGCTGATAGTAAGTCTCTGGTCGGAGGCTCTTTACACTTCAATGAAGTGTAGATACTTTTTCCTGACGCAGCCACACGAGCCACAAGGCCTTCAACCATGTAAGCAGCCAGACGCTGCATCGGATCACCGTGTATTGAAACCTCCTGATTCAGTTGCGCAATAAGTACATTAGCTAACGGCATATCATTATTTGAGACAGCTTCTGCACAAGCTACAAGCAGCTGTTCTGATCTGCTCCTCGTTGCTACCACCAATTTTTGAAGAGCCAGTTCTTCCACCTGCACAAGCAAAGCATATTTCTAGTCAGAATTGGAATTTTGCACTATCTAAAATAGGAGGCTTCATCATCAACTTCTTGTATTGGTCAAAATACTCCCTGCAGGACTCCAAACAACAGCATACTCTTCTTAAAAACTGGAGTTGTCCGGAAAAGTAACAAGTCTATTACTAAATATTGGCGCAGAAATGGCAAGGTAGTCAGAACCTACAAAGAACTAAAGTGTTGTGGCCTTACTCTGGCTGTGACGGCTCCAGTAAAGTTGATTGCGTTCTCGTTGCATTGCTGCTTCCCATAATCAGGTTGAGTAGTACGTGACGTTACAGGGGAAGGCTTAATTGCCGAGTTATCAGCGGCCAGAAACTTTTCAATCGTGTCTGCCCAGTTCCCTTCTGGTGCACGATGGTCGTCGTCGTCGTCGTCGTCCAAAAGCGCATTCTCTAGAACTTGCAGCATATGCACCATTTCTGGATTTCTCTGCGCACAATTGCTCTGCGACTGGGCATACTGCCCATCTGGAACATGTCGTCCGTCCTGTTGATAGTTAGGCATTGAATATCCCTGGGCAATTGCGCCTGGATATGGCATGGGCTTCAAAACAGAAGACGGGCTATTATGGTATGCTAGTGATCCCTCTGACTGCTCAATATGACCATATTGTCTTCCATAATAGTCTGCCTCTTCCTGTTTGACATGGCCCTCTAAAGAAGTATCACTATGAGAGGAGGATTCACTCTGATACGACGCAGAGTTCCAGCCTCCAGACATCCTTTGGCCATTATCCGAAGCGGCATGAGATGAATCTTGCGGAGAGAGGGGAGATATAGGCGAACCGTGGCTTTTAATTTTCAGGCCATATGCATTCTGCCTGTGGTCATTGGCATAAGACGTGCGCGCACCAAAATAGTTGGGTGCCTGCTGACTATTCGCTGTGTCTGAGAAATACTCTCTTTCTTTGCCTGGTGGAAATCCAGGAGTAAGGACCATAGAACCCAGCTCTGGTTCATACTGCACACTCATACTTCGCTGCAACCGAACACCTCAAAGAGGTTTCAGCAACAGCTTTTCAGGTGCCTATATATTTCTCCTTTCACGAGATGGTAATCAAGACAATGGCTTCGCCCTAGTCCTAAAACCGTGCAGTACGATCCAATTGCAATCTGTCATGCGCCCTCCTGCAAATGTGCACTGATCAGAATGTTAGCACAATAAGGAAGCATTAATATCAATAAAACGAGACCACAGGTTGAGGAATCAAGACGCAAGAAGAACTACTCAGAAAGTCTACTGTACTCCATTCAGGCGTTAGACTGCTGCGAAGTTGACAAAACTGGCCACCTGATTCTATCAACCATGAACTCAAGCAAGAAACATGAACTCAATAACCCTTACAAGATGGGCAGGGTCTGAGCTAACTAACAACCTTCGAGAATACAGCTCTTAAATGGACAGCTAATCTTGTTAGAATACAAACACCTGATCACGTGTAACCGAAGGTGAACTACACTTTCCATGTATCGCCAAACTTTCTACTTCATCCCGTAATACTGCAAGCACTGATATCGCTGTAACGCTAAAAAAACCACTGCATTATTCTGTTGACTGCGAATGTCACGGGTTGTCCTAGATGGAAGTACTTGAACGAAAACGTCATGTATACTAGCTACGTAGAAAGATATGAAATATTTCTGTTCTTAAGGTAGTACAAGATTTCTACTTGTACTGGATTACTGCTTGCTTTAAATTTCAGAAGTCGTAAAAGCTACACAATACTTTGTACGTCCGCCAAGTACACGTACAGATTCGCCCGAAGAAGGTGTACAACTACAAATTATTATGCTGTATTTACTCGAGCTTCGTAAAAAAACATAAGTACGACATCAACACCTCGCATTGGTAGATCAAGCTAAAAGAGGTTATTGTACTGATTTGGATCGCAAAGCAATCGTGAGAGCTGAATACTCTTCCAGAATGATAACAGTGGCTAGTATCTTCTTACAAGACCTCAAGTTACATGAAGGCCAAGCCATGTCTACGACACGCTTACCGCATAATACATCAAGGTGCTGAGGGCGCGGAAGAATAGACAGCATTTTTCACCTTGCAAGTAGAGAGTCACTATGAACCCAATAATAAATATCGACTACGTTCATGCATGCGTCACAAAGATTGTCAAGTACCACAAACGCCTACTCAAAAGAGGTCATGATCTCAGTGCTCACGCCGTACAAAGATGCACGAGAATAAGAAATTTGCACTCATTCCAAGAGCCTGCACATCTTGACTTCTAATCACGGAAATTGCTCTCTCACGTACTCCACAAATTAAGACGTACAATGAGCACGTAAGTACTTCTATCGTCTGATTTTGAAAATGAAGGAGAAGGAATGCAGACTAACAAATAGTAACAGTGATCAACCAGTTCCACTGAGTTCTCTGAAATCGAGTAGGGCTAAGTGATGACACCAAAAATTCTCATACTCCCACGGTTTTCATCTCCATGTGTTTGGAAACTAAACAGCACAACCTCTGCACAGTCTCAAAAACTGATCGCCTAGAAGATGGAACCCTTTTCCCAACCCTACCTACCCTCATGGGAGACTTGAATCATCAAAACCTAGGAACATAAAAAATTAAAAGAGGGAGCGAGAGTACCACATAGAAAAAGCAACTTACAACTTCTGTTGCAGCAGAGATAGACCACGCGGCTAACACAAAAATGCCCTCCCACAACTCCACTGCCTAGACGATCAACATTCAACACCATTCTCACTCACAGCTCCATCCACATTCACTCCCACAAAACAGCAGACAACAACAACCCTACGCCATAATAAACGACCAAAATCCAGGTAAACCTAAGTTCTCCTTGATTTCAGAATGGAAAGTACCGAAACACCGCCCAAACCAATCACTTAAGCCTCGCTCTACACCTGCTGTGTGTGCATAAGACTATTTCGGGAAACTCGCCCTCTACCTCCACACACGCCGAAACGTGCAGAAAGCCACCAAAACCCCTCCAACTCAGACCATTCAGCATCGAAGTTCAGTGCAAAAAGTTAGCGGGAAAACGCAGGAACCGAAACATAAACTAAGAAATATCGGTGTTACCGACCCGCTTCAATATTCATCGAACAGGAACGACGCTGTCTCTGTCTCCCCCACGTTCGTATTCACCTTCGCGACAAGGTTCGCATGGACACGAGAGAGGTCGCCATAGCCAGAGCGCGGTCATAGACCCACCTGTCAATGAACGAACCAGAAGGCCACGATGCCCTCCCTGCACCATACCCACCACATCAAATGATACCCGTCTTGACAACAGGCCGGATATTCTGTGGGTTGGAACAGTCCCCAAGGTTACAGAATCCAGCTTCGAGGAAGTTTCAAATGCATTGAACTAGTTCCCTCCAACAACACTCTCTCTTTTATTCCCGTGTGCGGATGTTTGGAGGGTATCTATCCAAGTTGATTGAATGAGGGGTGTAAGCACCGCACGCAATAACGGGGAATCGAATCTGAGTACCCAAAAAGCATTGTTGCCCATCTGTTCCCCCTTTTGCAGACAAGGATGGGTACAATCAACAGGCTAAAGCAAACGAATGGAATGAATGGAGGAATTGGTATCCATGGCTAATTCTGACACATGATGACGCTGCAAGGCTCCTACAACATCTTCGTAGAAATTTCACACTGCAGTTCTTGGCCACGAGCGGATGTGCTAGTTCTCATTTAAAATGCTACTGTGTATACGTCGCTATGTTATTATTTGTCCTTTTAATTATCCAACAAGGCCAATTAAGTATAGTTGGCAAGTAAACGTTCTCCACAATTGTCAGTCCAATACTTCGTAAAATTTGGGTGTGAACGCAAAAGCGAACTCTGTCCACGGACACATCCAGTGACAACTTTCCCATGAGATGAAAAACAGCGTTGTTATCCCCTGGAATTTTCATAAGTCTCTGACGCAATTCTTCGGGTTTTCGCTTTTGTGGACCGTTAACCTAGGAATTTTCAAATTCAAGTAAATCCAGTCTAGCGACGTTATCTATTAACCTCCTATTCGGTAGCATAGTGTACAAGAGTCAACGATAGCTCCCTCCATATGTAGAATTTTCTATGGCCAATTGCAGAGCGATAGATTACACTTATCTCATGTAGACCTCGCTGTAACGGCGTGGGCGGTATTTGCAATGAAAGTCTTAACTGTGATTTTTACCACCCTAAACCCGGTGGGTTTCCCATAACCGTGCCTCGTAGCTGGACCAGGAGGTGCAAGAAGATATTATATATAAACTGCCACTGACGAGAACGCAAACCTTTTACTTTTCAATATATTCAGGTTTGCAAAAATGTGTGTGAGAGTGTGTAATGTGATGTCAGTGTTTGACTTTCTGTCACCGCCGTTCCACGTCAGCGCAGGTTGTTCCACGTCATCATGATTCCATACCACCGCCTCGTGGCTGCAAAGTTTTGGCTGTCCTTCACCAGCTGCCCGCAAAACAGTGAGTCCCTCTATCTTCTTTCGTCCTCCCCTCTTTTTTACTTTAGCCTCTCTTTTCCTTTATTTCACTTTCCCTTTTATAAATGTGGAGTAGAGGGGCAGGATCATCACACTGGTGGCTTGCATTCAAGAGTGCACCAAATGAAGTTTGGAGTTCAGGCCTCCACACAAGTCCTTTTCCCAGAGAGTAGTGGGGGATCCTCATCCATCCAATCCAAGGCTATCTCCGCACAAGGCCTATCTTTCTCTATTGAAGGGGGGCTAGGAAATGGAGCTCCGGCCTTGCACCGCTGCAACATCACATGCCTGCCTGGCTGTATTTGTGGGGGGTCCCAAGAAAAGAAGTAAGAGGGCAGAGAGGAGTAAAATTAATAACAATAGTAATAATAAATAAATGGATGTGAGAATAACAAAATATATTTAAAAAGGTACAAGTAACTAAACCTACAAGGGAACAATCAGGTGGGTACCTCTCTTTTAGTTCATGGATACCGTCCAAACCACACACCTTTGCAAAATATGACTAGTTTGGATTTTGAATCTTTTTTTTTTTTTTTTTTTTTTTTTTTTTTTTACGTTTATTACTATAGTACCATACTTTGAATAATGAACACACACACACACACACAAACACACACACACACACATATATATATATATATATATATATACACATATTTGTTTTCCGTATGTATTTTGTGACTCCATATTATCTTAGCCTTTAACATTTGTCCTTGCAAGTCTTTGTTAAATTATTTTTTTGGATAACGAATACATAAAAGATTGTGTTTTATTATTTTATTATTTATCATTATTAAATAAAAATAGATAATACTTTATTTTAAATAAAATGTAGTTAGTTTTTGCAAAGGTACATATGCAAGGGTGTGTGACAAAAGGGAGTATCTATGCCACAAATAAAAACAATAAGGTATTCACTTAAGGTTCAAATATAAATTCCAATATTTTATCTAATATACTTTTTTAGCAAATACATTATAATCATATTTTTTATAATTCTTTAAGATTGGTTTTTATTCGTAATTCAATAAAAATAAAAAAATTATTGAAATGATAACTTATATAAAATTCATACCACCTTGAATTGTTTAAGTGCTTTTATTAATATGCTTCAAAAAGTATATTAACATTATTAAATCAAATATGTACATATATATATATATATATATATATATGTATATATATACATACTATTGTAAAACTTATATTTTATATTATTAGATAAAATTATTAAAAAAGTATATATTATTTTAATGTTTAAACTTACACACTAATAAAAATATAAGTATAACATCTTTTGATTTAACACAATAAAAAATCTAAGGAATTTCCAATATATTTTCAATTTATGTACCTTTTAATTTTTTAATTTAAATAAAATATTTATGTATATATATTACAAAATTTATGTTATTATTTTCTAAATTAAATATTACGAAACAAAAGTATAAAAGAAGATAAATTATATATATATATATATATATATATATATATATATATATTCAATTCATTGAATGAATATTTAAAAAAAAAATTAAGAGCATTTTATATTAGGAAATAAAGTTAGAAATTACAACTTTTAAATATTTTGGTTGATTGAAATTTAGAAGCCTCTTTAAATTGGTCCTATGTTTAGAAATTAAGTCCAAAGGGCTCAAGAGGAAAAATAAGGTAGAATGAATTTTTTTTCTACATAGCATGCATAATCTTTTGTTTCTTCTTTTTTGAAAAAATTAACTAAATCATTCAGTGAGTTAGCGAGTGATAATATTGTTCTCTTTTGTATCTTTCAAATAATACTTATAATTGTGGATAATTCACTCAACCTTTTTTCAACACATCAAGTAAAATATTCTTAAAAAGAACTTATCTACTAGGGTTTAAATTTATTTCATGCAAATCTCATATTCCACAGTAAGCCCAAAAACGGGGTCAAAAAAAAAAAAAAAAAAAAAGAAAAAGAAAAAGAAAAAAACTCTTTATAACTCTCTTGTCATTTTATTTATATATTGGATATCAAAAGCTTAAGACATTATATCTAACACATGTCTTAATATGGAATCTATTTAATAACTGAATATATATATATATATATATATATATATATATCTAATTTCTGTAGATAAAAGTTCAAAAAAAATATTTATATTTTTAACTACTAATAATGAAACATAGTTTAATTCAGAGGTTGAAAGTGAGATTATATCTAACTGAGTGATTTTTCTAATTTTTAATTTTATTTCATATTATTGTTATATATTACTTTAGGAAAGACAGTCATCTCATTGAATGTAAAACCCAAAATACTACTTCAATACATTTCAAAAGCAAAGAATGCAAAAGACCCCACCTGATAATATGCCCAGTACAATTGCTTGCACCCCCCATCAAATTGAGCCAGAGAGTATGTGCAAGACTTTTAAGTAAAACCCAATTACATCCTAATTTGTCACTCTTTGGATGAGTTGTGGCAAACTTGTCTAGAGCATAGAATAATATCATTCAAACTAAGTTGATCATAAATTTAACCACACCTATGAAAAAAATTCATGAAATAATTATTTTAAAAAATATGAAATTGGCATTTTTATACTTCTTATACCTATCTGATAAAAATTTGAGCTGATGTATTTAGACTTTTCATAAAATAAAAAATATATATATCTTTGTTTATTCCATAGCATCTTCTCACTTTATACTATTTCTAAAGATCAAGGTTTCTAGATTAGGATTTTTTGTACCAAGAAGGAAACCTTTGTAAAGCTTTTAGACAATGCCTTTCAAAGTAGACTTATAGGAATAAAACCCCCTAAACTTGTATTTATTTATTTTTTATTGCATATTTTTAGGTTCTATTTTAAAACTAATAAAATTTATTTATGTTCTAACAGTCTTATTTTAAAAATTTTAAGAAACATAATTATAAAATTATTAAACTAGAAAAAATTACTTTTAACATATATGAATATATTTATCTATACAAATTTATAATAATACCGTTTTATTAAATGAAAAAATAAATATATCATCTATTATTATAATACTTTAATAAAAAAATATTGTGTATAAAATTATTTTTATAATATTATTATTTAGAATTCATGTATATTATTAAAAAATCAAA